ACTTGAGATATAATTATTTTATTTATTTACTTTTTGTCGATCGCTTTTTTCATCTTATTAAATATCCTTGTAAGATAAAATCTGATTAAAAAATATTTCATACAAAAGTTATTATTTATTTCGTGGGAAATAAGAATCTGTACATAAAAATACAGGTTGACTTGAGATATAATTATTTTATTTATTTACTTTTTGTCGATCGCTTTTTTCATCTTATTAAATATCCTTGTAAGATAAAATCTGATTAAAAAATATTTCATACAAAAGTTATTACTTATTTCGTGGGAGATAAGAATCTGTACATAAAAATACAGGTTTCCATTTGAAGAAACAAAATTACCCTCCGAATAATCTTCAAAACGAACAACAACAGCAAAATATATAAAATAATCGCGTTTCTACCTTGAAATCGAGTAACTTTTGCATTTAACATTTTTCTCGAAAATGTGCTGTTTTCGAGATATTTGTATGTAAAGCTTTTAAGTGAGCATACGTTATAGTAACAATTGTTTCGATAATACTTGATGGTACACGGAAGGCGCAACAACCAAAATTGAACGGTAATTTCGTTGCAAGTTACGTCTCCTTTCCTTTTTTTTTTAACGCAACATCGCCGATATCGTTGACCATCGATAACTGATCGATAACTTATCGGTAATCAGCGGCAACCCCTCGAAGCCGAACTCGAGGGTGAAATGTTCAAATTACCAATTCCGTTAGGGCTTTTGTTTCCAACCGGCGCGACACGTCATGGCCGTGTACGAAACACGCCCGCAGCCAGCGCTGGAGAAAATATTCTTCCAAGCAATACATAATGCACACTTCGTTCCGTTTTCTATTTTCAATGCATCTCGACGGTTCAAACGCAACTGCTTAAAGCCAAGCGTATGCGTTCGACGTGTTTGTCGCTATAAATGAATTGTCGTACGTCATAGTTGGATACAGACTCGGATAAATTGAAATAAAAATGAAAAATAGCTTCTTGGACGAATTTATTTCAGCGACGAAGCAGTAAATCGTTTCGTTATTTCTTTGTTTCAAATGTGCCGAAAGAAATAATGCTGAGAATAATAATGAACGAAAAAATTTTATTGTATGAAATCTTCACAACAATTTGTTCAAAGCAATGCCCTCTTCGCGAAGAAATAATCAACGAAAAGATTTTATTTCGTGAAGTTTTCACAACAATTTGTTTAAAACAGAAACGTGTAAACCAGTTCCAGTTAAATTTAACGTCATCATTATTTCGATAAAATAACGCGCGCGTTTAAATAATATTTCAAATGTGCCCAAATCCGGTTAGAAGACTATATACTATACTTATGTTCGAATATTGTAGCTTCATACAGCACTGTTCTCTCCCGAGTTTACCCTAATTTTCTAATATGCATGGTACATTTCAGAAATTACTGAAACAGAAATATTTTCTGGAATCTCAAATTGTGGGCATCGAACACGTGATTACCAGATCGCGGATCTTTAAAACGTTCTGCATTTGTTTCTTTAATAAGTGTAGCCGATCGAAATTAGTATGACAGTACTGTTAAATATTTTTCATTTATTCCACCGTTTCACGTAACAGTTCCTCATTTTTGTCATAAATGGAAAAAATTCACAGGCTGTACGACTGTATGACGTCAAACAGGCATTACATAAAACACCTAATGATAGTGATCGCAGTTTTCAATTTACCATCCCGAAATACGAAACGAAATTTGACTTATTAAAATTACTCACAGGCATAAGATCCGCCGAAAAGCCGTGTTACCAGCCAAAAATAATCATTACAAAACCTTCGAAAGACGATAAAAACGTATCGAACAAAGTCGGCAATGCAGGTTTAATCAAATAGAGTGAAGACTTCCTTGGAACGTCCTTCAAGGCGGCTGGAATATTACTTCGTACCATCTGCCTAGCATCGAGCGCGTAAAACATCAAGTAAACTAATTTCTCTGGAAACTCTATCCAGCTCCGACGGCAGAGAGGCATCCACGGTACGCGACAATACTATGTACGTATAAGATACCGCATATAACCGTATAGCAATTCGTGTTACGAGTATACCGCGGGTTTTTATGTATTTATAGCAAAAACGAGTAAGCGCAACTTAAAACTATAAAAAAATATTACGAGAATTAAAGAATATCGATATATGTATTACTTCCGGTTCCAATAAAATTGTTAAAATGTTAAAGTAAAGAAGGTGTTCCCAATTGGCTCTTCTATTCTACTTCGGTTGCAGAAACATTTTTATTTCGCATAAAAATCAGCGGTCGGGTTATGAGAAAGAATTTATGCTTCTTCTGTGTATGCGCAGTGTTACAGTTCACATCATGAGAAGTTATTTATCGACAAATTGTAGTTTATAGCTGTTCAAATTATAACTATGAAAATACTTATTTTAAATGGAAACGAAACTACGTATGAGACATGCAACGAGTTTTTGGAAAAACTATCAGTTTTTTGTTGATCGTGTCTACGTTTATTATTCTACTATCAATTTTTGTATCGATAAACCGTGCAATTGTTACCTACATGACTGACTCTATATCATAATACCATAACCGTCTATTTATTCCATTTTAACTGCGGTTTCCTCGAAACCTTTAAACCGGCGGAAAAGATCACAGTTTTCCGTCTTCTACACAAGTGAATTCGTTGAGCCGCGAAACGTAATCGCGCTTGTTTGTGGTTGTTGGTTATTTACGTATTTCTAAACAATTTACGGTTTTATAAGCGCTCTGAACTCTGTGTTATTCGCTAAACTATTTTTCAAGACTTGTTTGTACGCCGATTTCTACTGTTTCCTGCCGCGCCATCAGCGCAGAATTCGATGTCTACGTCAAAATGGTTACCTAGTTACCGGCAAAATTGTTGTTTTTCGACGACCAAACAAGTTCATATTATTGCAAGATATATTTTATAAATAATTATACAAGATAATTTCTAATACTTCAGAAATTTTTACCAGCAAATAGATTTTATTTTGTAGTTGATTAGTAGTAGATTGATTAGTAGATTGTATTTTGTTATTCTGTGAAATATGTTAATCGTTATTCTCTAAAATATGTAAGTTTCTTTTTCGCAGTATTTTATACAGGACTTAAAAAGGCCTCTGAGAACCCTCGCTTCGTATTAACTTGCAAATATCTCGAAAAGACTATCCACACCTAATATAATCGTCGAAAACAACAAATATTTACATTGCATAGATTCGAAACCTATATAGAACCTAAAAACCGACAGTTATAGAACCTACATAGAAGCTAATGCGAGAACCTTAATTTAAACTGCTATAGTCCGACGTTCAGGCTCTTCATAATTCAGAATAAAAGTTCATTATAGCTACCACAAGTACTTGAAGCTATATTATAACTAGACTGCGGGGTTTATGCATCCATGGCAAAAATAAAATTGCGAAGACATAAGAAGAATTTAATGATATTGTTGCACTGTCTTCAAGTTAACAGAGTTATTCGAGGGAACAGTTTATTTTTATTACATTTCCGTTTCTTGTAATCGATGTAGGCAATTTTTATTTTGCACGCAGGTCCACGGTCTAGTTCGAGCCCCGATCTTATCTAAATGTACGGTAGAACGCGTTCGCCATATTCATTATGTGTATTGCACGTTTTTATATGAAACATATCAATGGAAATTCCCATCCCATATTGTTCAATCCGCCTACGCAATAAAGATCGTCTTATACTTTCGACGCGGCCAATGGATACAGCTATCGGCTATCCTCTTCTAACTTCTCAATTTACAAACGGAGAAAATATATCTTTGCGACAATGGTTGAGAGACCAGCGATACTAACATATAAAATGTACAGAGGGTACATTGAACATGAAACGGAGGAGTACACGCTAAATATTCGGTATGACAGTGGATAGTGTGAACGAGGTGTAACGCGGTGGAACATGTAAGCTCTCGGCACCTAGTGAAAAATAAATACCTAATCCGAATCTAGCAACGTGAACGGAAAGAGCAAATTATTGCAAAAAATCGGGAGAGTTACGATAACGATTTGCAATAGGGCAGAGATCGGTTTGGTTCTCGTTTAATTATACCGCGGATGCTGACGAAAGTCTCTTCGAGCAAATAGTGACGTAGACGGCGCGTAAAAGAAGGAAGTTTTCTCCTTGCACAGCTTTGTATGGTTTTATTACGGCGTCTTACGGTGTCGTCGCAGACTGTACGGCTTCGGGCACGAGCATGCGAGACGAAACCGGAAATGGGAAACGCGTCGCAGTGCCGAGTGTCCCGATCGGAAAGCCCCTTTTCGTCGTTCTGGCCGAACGTGCCCGTCGGGACGAGCCTCCATGTTAACCGTCGCCTCGAGAGCCGCCTTTATTGCGCAGCGACCACGTCGAAAAACCTAACTCGCTAACCACCGCAGCCTCTCCCCGGGTACCAAGCCAGCCGCCGAAATCCCGGAACGGGGATCCTCCTAGCTCGACTATAACAGACGAGAGATCCCTTCGAATAATAATTCCGACGACACGAGCAAAAACCAACGGTCGGTCTCTCTCTCCTGACGTCAACGGAATCGACTATCGTCCTCGATTACACGATTCTCGGTCGATTTTCCTACGAATCGATACCCGCGGGTAATTAACCGCGACAGCACCCGGGTGTGCTGGCGGCCCATTTCCGGTTCGACGTCCAAAATATTTACACCGGGGCCACGGAACAAAAGAACGTGTCCCCAGGAGCGGACGAACGAACGCCAGCGCCACGATAACGAGACAGAGGAATAAGGAGAGAGAGAGAGAGAGAGAGAGAGAGAGAGAGAGAGAGAGAGCTAAAGAAAGAGCGAGAGAGAGAAAGAGAGAGAGAGAGAAAAAGAAAATGATCAGGATTTTCGACCCATTTCCGGACCGACCTTCGTACCATCTGCGGCACATAAACAAGGAACGAGACGGATCGGTAATTGGTTGTCCGCGGACACGGGGCGCGGGTTTCGCGGGAAGACATTACCACGGTGATGTACTCACTGCATCTCGTCGACGGCCGGGCTCACGGAGCACATCGCGCTGGCGACGGCACGGCAGTCACGGTCACAGTCACGTAAGCACCAAGCAGCAGCAACGTCGACGATGGTGGTGTCGATGCCGAGCACAAACGCAGAAACACTCATCACTGTCACCCAGCGCACCCCGATTTCATTCGAGCCCGACTTCTTCCCTTTTTTCCTCTTTTTTTTTCCCCCCCGTTTGGTTTTCTTGTTGGTCGGCGGCGGACGATACGCTAAGGGGGGAGGTCCAGGGGCGGCGCGCGTCCGTGCCGAAGGAAAAACCAGCGAGACGGACTCGTTTTTCCCGTCCCCGTTCCGCCTCTGCCGTCTCTCCGTCCCGCGATCGCCGGAGAAACACTTAGCCCGACCGACACGAAAATCGACCCGCACCACTTTCGACTCTTCTCTTTTTCTCGTCGGCCCCCCCGGGTTTTTCTTCTCGCCGCCGCACAGTGCACAATCCTCGGCTTTTACTGTTCCGTGGTGCCAGCGAGGCCAGCCACCGCCGTACGGGCCACAGCCGATCGCCAGGCAGCAGAGAGCACCGCGCTCCTGGCTCGTTACCAAATTTTTGCACCTCGCTCGCCCGTACTGATTCGATGCAGCCGAGTTTCTTGACTGAGCGGCCGATGCTCGCCGAGCCGTGCCCCGCGAGACACCACGGCTGCCAACCCGACTGCCGCCGCCGGCAAATGTCACTAGATTAGGCGTGGAGAACGATGCCGCCCTCGCTCGACCATGGGGAAATGGATCTTCCGAATCGATTGTATTGGAAATTTGTGCGAACGAGATTGATCGGTCACTCGAGATTCTTCGGTGAGAAGTTTTCAAATTTATGATTGTTGTAAGAATAATATGGATATGTGTATGATTGACAAGTACCGTCACCTGTGTCGTTTACCATCACATACTTGAAACAATAGGCTTTAAAGGCTGTTTCTGGACCTCAGTGACGTGTTTTAAAAATATTTTATCAATTTATTTTGGTAAAGACGTTTTCAATAAGATGTCACGAATGTCCAAGAGACGTCTTAAAGATGTCGTTCGTGCTGTCCGCGAACTATTGCACATTGTGTGTTATACAAATATCTTATTAATTTATTTTCATGAAGACATCTTCATTAGGACGTTTAAAATGTTTCAGAAACATCGCTGTAAATATTACATGGATAAAAATAGATGAATCATATAATTAAAAATGAAAAAACCCGGACGTCTGTTTTAACGTGTGAAATAAACTAAACATAATATGGACGTCTGTAAGACATCGTGTGCTATTTGAGTTCGTTCCTCAGCTCATCTTTATTCATTTCATAACTAAGGAATATTTTGCCAAAATTTAACCTGTGTTGTTTAAAAGCTTATAAAATCGTCGTTAAATGACAAACTGTCGACCAAAATCGGGTAGTTCTCTCTTGTGGAAATAGCAAAATTGTTAAAATTAGAAAACAAATTAAACATTATACAAGAAATAAGTAAATCATCCAAAATTGTATATCGTTGTATGTCTCGAGTTTTTAATAATGTCTTCTATAGTGATAATACATTAAAAAAAAACGAATTTACGCAAAATCGAAACATGATCCAAAGAATCAACGATATCGAAAATTTGAAGAACATCAAAACACGGCCCTGTGTTTGTAAAATTCATGGAGAAAATTATGAACGAACATTCAATTCGCTAGTTCGATCGGTGCTAACAAAGGATAAATGTTTCCGGCTCATTCCACGGATCGTTTTAAATAAGTGTTGCAATAATTATCTACGGTAGAAGAAGCAAATTAGAGAAACGCATCTTCTTTAAATGAGAAATTCTCCGCGACCTAGTAGCAGCGCGCGGAAGAGGGTCACTCTCACATCTTGCGCTTTCGTTCGCAGAACAAGAAATTGCAGCGATCCACGATGACTTCTTAATCGATTTAACGAGCTCCTCGCTCTAAATTAACGTTGACATGTTTATCTCTGTTTTCGATTACGTCCGAAGAAGCATCTTGATCAGATAAAACGCGAAAAATACTATTAAGCAACCAAAAATTATTGCGCGCTAAAATTATTAACGCAGCAAACAATTTAGTTACACAAGTTTTTATTTTTAGCCATACTTCAAAAATAGTTTACTATATCAAAAGTCTGTTAATAATGCTAATAATGTCTGTTTGTAGTCTAAATAGCTCTACAGTCGTATTTTCATAAAAAGAAGTAATAATAAGGAGAAACAATGAAAATAGGATTTTTGTAATTTTGTTCACACCTTTAGCAGACACTTTATTTTTATTCAAAATTGTTTTAATAGAATAATCTTGATACTATGTTATACTAAAAGAGTATTTCGATTGCAACCTTCTCAATCGTTCTCATTTTATTTATTGCCAAATTAAACGTGAGTTTTTCGTAAATGTAAACTGGATGATCATTAGACTGCGGATTTTATGCATTTATGATAAAACTGACTATGTGAAAGTCCAAGCAATAATGACATCAAAAGAATCTAAGGTCGTTTATATAATATACCTCTCATTGGTCAGTGTTTTTCGTTAATAACTCGTAAACAAAGCGGCAGATCGCATTTTCGAAAAGGAAAATGTTACTTAGAATAACCTCAGCTACCCCACATTTTCGTATTGCGAGACATTTTTCGGACACCCTGTATATGCTCCACCATTTAGAATAATCATCAAAAGAAGAAATAGACCTTCATTCCGATCTTGTCTTTTTTAACTGATTGAGACAATTTTTATTTTGCATAAAGATCTGCAGTTTGATCATAATAGTGTCTATCATTAAATGACACCATATAAGAAAAGTAAATAGTACTTCGTGATTTAAAGTAACTCGTGTTCTACTTTGTTATCAACGTTCTACAAAAATTTCTCGACCAAATCCAACAAGCAAACTTAAACTCGTACTCAATGTAATTCATGGAATCTTTAAATAGAAAACTGCCCTCGTTCCCTCGAGGGCAGTTTTCTAGGCGAGATCCCCTCGTTCAATTTTATTTACCATAAAAATTCTACGAAAAATAATCACACAGATCCGATGAACAAGTTCGAAAACGGAAAAAAGAACGGCTGTCATGCGATACTACTTCGAAAAATCCACGCGCAGAAACATTTGGCGTGCGTACGTTGGCAGCGCAAGCTCGGTGCATTGGTCACCCGCCGAAGTGGCGGCTCGTGATTGGTCGTACGCGGAAGTGGTCGCTGGCGATTGGCCGCCGCGCGGAGCGAGCAATGGCGGCGGTCGATGGTAGGGGAGTCCGCCAAGGTAGGTAGCGCGTCGCATTGTGCGGCTGAGTTCGTGGCTGTGCGTACGAGTCCATAACCTGTCGCGTGTGGTTCGCCTTGATCGCATCATCGATTCTTGACTCGAGCGAGCGTCTGCCGACGAGTTGCCCGTGTTTTTCGCGATCGCGTAATTACGTCTGGCTGGCCGGACGACGCCTGGCTGTTCACGGACTGCTTTGTTCCGCGGGACAACGCTCGAAGACGCGGCGATGAGGGAGAGCTGAGAGCAGATTGCAACGCATTGTGAATGAGGTAGGATCCACAAATAATGTGTTGTGTTTCCCCGTTCGTCTGTAAGATCGATCGTCCTTCGACTGTGAGTTTGAACGCCGAGTAAAACGATCGAACGTGTCCGTGCAGTGTTGCTCCACAGTGTCAGGGCAATCAAAATGTTTTTTCTCTATCGATTTCGTGCGCGCAATGGTTTCCAAGTGGCTCGAGTTGGGTTAGGTTAACAGTTGTTGTTGTGACACGCGGCGTCGAAATTCGCACATTCAGTTCGGGACGAGAAGTGTTGTGCGAATTGGTTCGGATTCGACTGTAGTAATCGTTCGTTCGTTACATTGTATACGTGCTTCACATGTAGATCGTATGTGAATGCTTCCATTCAGTAGTGACGGATTTTCTGAACATAAAATAGTTTGTGTACACTGATAAGTGCTGTAATTTTTCTCTGTGCGAAGTGCTGATAAACCGTTTGCGACGATAACGGCGATCGATAACCTATGGTAACGCATTCGGTAAGATGGTAAATATTTGTACTGTTTCATTGGATACAGTCTCGGACAAAATTCAGTGGACTGGTATCCACGTCGTGTTGGTATACATATAATTCACGTTTTATTTATCACATGTCCTTACAAGACGTTAATGTTAATCGATATATTAGTATTAAGCCTTTAATAAAACAAATAAGAAGCATACAACAACAGTGTCATGTCAATAAGTTTTTAGTGTTGTCCCCGATTAAATATAGAATTTTTTAAACGTCTGTTTGTTTGTTTTTTTTGACCTTCGGTTTTGATGAAATTTGAATTAGTTGCACGGCTTGACAGTTTGAACAACTGTTTTCTCTGCAGAAACTGTTGGAAATATTCGCGAAAATCTGTAGACCTAACCTTTACTTACAACGTTCGAAGCATTTTAGAAACCGTTCTCGACCAACTATAATATCCGCGAATGTGTAAGTAAAGATTAGTTAATTGGACACAATTTGGGACTGTGACATTGTTTTTCCACAAATATCTCGGAGCTGTGCAACATATTTAGAGTTTAGAAAATCGGAATGGCCGACTTTTTTTGTAAACAACCACCTGTTTCTCGCGAATAACAATTTGTTCGCTTCGCGCGGGAAGTAGAAAATGGAATAGCGTCATTTAACGCGATGCAATCATCGAGGGGTCATTTAGGTTAACGATGAGCTCACGTGCTGAATGATGTACGCGCGTTGCGTTCGAAGCTCCCGATTGTTATCTGTCGACGATACTTCCCCGATAGTAAAACTTGCAGGGCAATAATCTTACAAGTTATTGCGAGCACGTGGCTAGATTTCTTTCTTGGGAAATCGTGTTTTTTTCGGGGCTACGAAATGTAGGCGGGATACGCCGAGAAATGTTTGGTTAATCGAGCGTTAAATTTACGCTGCTGCGTGGCGCATCTTCGAAACGGTGCGTTTATGGCGCCTACACCCGTGTGCTGTTCGCCGTAAACCGGTTTCTTGGTGGCCTTCTGAGAACTTTATCGAATCGACGATAAAATTATTCCTCGCGCGACTTTTCCAGGGGGATCCGCGTCGAAAATATTTCATGATCGTCGCGCGAAAATGTCCCGGAACCGTGAAAATTTAGGATGCGCCGGTGCCATAAATAAAGTTGTTTTCAAATTACGTCGATTAATATCGCTTCGTCGGGCGCAGGTGCGCCGGATTAACGGGACCGCCGCTAAAAATATAGCTGAAAAATGTCGAGTAGCAACGTTCGCCCTGAAATGGGCATTTCTACATAGGAGGGAAACTAGATCAGACGGTGTTGCTAATAGAAAGCTCTCGTTGCATAGGGTCACAGATCTAGATCTAGAGAAAATCCGGGAATTATGTATATATATATATATATAAATCGGAATTAAAAATAATTATTCATTCAGGATTTTATTGTACGCTATTTTTAAATAATTTAAAAAATATTTATGTACGAAATAGTTTGGATACTTTTTCAAAAAGTAGATCGTTTTCAATGTAGCAACTAATCTTTACGTACGTTTTTCTCAACGTGTTCGCTGCCCGTAAAAATAACCATTTGAATTATTCATAGGCTGCAACTCTGCGTAGCCTTTCAGTATGTTTCCTAAAGTTTTTGTAAGCTTCTTAGAACATTTTTTTTCTCGATCCTTAATACACGCTGTACAGTTTTTGTTGTCAGTGTTTCATAATTCTAAAAGATTTCAATGTATACATGCGAGCCGTTTATTTGAAAGTGGCCTAAGTCCGCTTATTTTAAAATACAGACATTTAAGAATTTTGCGTTTAAGTAAATTTAAAAATATCGGTAACTAATAAATATGGTAATATGATGTTTCTAAGGGTTATTGCGGTATTTTTCTAAATTATTATTTTCTTAATTATTATTACTTCTCTATTCTAGGGAAGCTTTGCTGAAATGAAATTATATATAACATAGAAATGTAAACATCCAAATAGCTAGCTCGATGATTTTGGAAAATGGACTTAGGACATTTTCAAAATTAACGTCTCATGTGTTCCGACTGACAATCAAACAGAAACGAGGCAATCGGACTACATTGCGTATAGATGTACCTTTATCACGATTTGCATTTCCTCTGCAGATTTACCAAATAAAATGTCAATTTAATACAAATATACAGATTGCATTAAAACCGTAGTGGAACCGGAAAGGGGGCAGATTGCATGCAGAAAAATATGCTGAAAATATCCAATGGTATTCTTCCGTTCGGGAACTCGTTTTCGAGAACATCAAATTTGAACATTTGTCGTGTACACACGCGATTCGTTAAGCCCTGATTGAAACGAGCGGAAGTACAGTAGAACGTTAAATCTTCGGGGCCGTCCATTGCATTATCTTCTTTTTGAATTGCCGTTCGTTTATACCACGTCCGGTATAAATTGTTATACTTTAGTGCCATGAAATTAAACTGGCTCTCGTATTTTATGGAATGCAAAGACTCCGAAGTTCATCGTTCGTTTTCTTTTCGCGGAAATTACTGGCTACATATTTACGTACATTCATGATTATAATGCGAATCGTATATTAATTCTTAGATTATAAATATATTCGTCTGTGTACGCTTATTTCTGGAGGGTTTATAAATATTTATAAAATATCTTTGAAAAAAGTACGAACGATACGGTTGTGAACAACAATTTAACAACACAAATAAAAATAAAATGCGAAGTACAATGAAGTTCAATTAAAAGATTTAACATTGTTTGAAGCCCAACGTTGAAATATTAAAAACGTTAGCACGGGGGATGGTTTCGAAAATTTGATTTCGCATAAGGATCCGCAGTCCGTTAATTAGCGACCAATTCCATTAAAAAAATATCGATCTCTTTCGGCTCAAAGGCAAAAAAAAGAGGACCTGCAGAATTTTCCAATCGACCTAATAGAAAGCCTATAGCACACGGACGTGTACGGACACATGGTCGTGTGAAAGCAGACGAAAGGCAGCCAGGATCTATCGCGCGTGCTCGAAAGTGTCAGTGAACTCGAATTCAACCGCTAGCTACCAAACTCCACCCGGTGTGCGCGATTTTCACTGGAGACGATGGTGCCGTCTCCCTTGGCAAACATCCTTGACAATTCGCATAATCGACCAGACCGCACCGACATGATTGTTCAACAAATTTTATCTTTCATTTTTTTTATAATTATACACTGACCGCTTTATCCGCACTTGCCTGGGTCTACCTTGAGCCATCCTTCTTTAATTAAAAGATAATTGCCAAGCCTCTTTCGGATACAGCATAGCCATCGAAAGGATTATTTATTCATGTAGAACGATGTCCGGGTCGATCTTGATCCATCTTTCTTTAATTAAAAGAAAATTGCCAAGCTTCTTTTGAATATAGCATAGCCGTCGAAAAGATTATTCGTTCTTGTAGAACGATGTTCGGGTCGGCCTTGACCCGAATCTTTCTTTAATCGAAAGAAGATTGTCGAGACTCTTTTTAAATACAGCATAGTCATTGAAAAGATTATTAACCCTCTATGGGCCCATGTAACTTTCAAGTCACAAGCTAATATATCCACATTTTACCAAATAGTTTCAGTTTTTTTCACAAGATGATGTATACGTCTTAATTATATAATGCCTCTGAAATAACTGATAACAATATTGATGACGGTTGGCTGCACCATCAACCTAAAATGTCAAAATAAATACCTTGCAAGTTGTCTACAGATAGAAACCAAAGGGATCATCTTGTGCAATTGAGATTATTTGTGCTCTTGTCGGCGTTTACTAAATAAAAAAATGCGTATATAATAGCTCTGGGTTCGTACATCAATAACAATTTATTTATTTTGCATTTTAATAATCATTTTGTTACTATTTGTATATGATACAGTTTTGTAACCTTCAGGTTACATTGGACTATTGTGGTAGATTCGAGTGTATTTAGGATAATAGTTATGCTTTCTTCTATTTTCAAATTTATATAACAAATACCCCCAAAATATGGATACAAAATCGTATAAAAATAAAAGAGGAATTAGAATTAGACACATTAGCGGTAACAGATCCGAAGATTCTTTATTAGATTCTAAGTCCGATGAAGATCGTCCAGTAGCATTTACCAGACGACGCATAAATATTATTGACAGTGACGATGAATTTAGTACCGAATTATCATCGGATGAGGAAAATTCAAGACCA